CAGTCAAACGCGTTCACCGTCTTTTGGACCTCAACCAGGGAGCCATGACGCTCAAACCGAGGCCAGCTCAGAAGTGAGGGTCTTCATTCCTCTCGATCAATTTATCGCTTGTCCACCCCTCCTCTTCTTCCACCCACATCCCCGGTGAGCAAACAACGCACGTCGCGGAAGTCGGTGGGCTGGCATGCGCAACACGTGGCCCAGCCATCGAAGGCTGGTGCGTGAAATGACGGTGCTGAGCGGTTCAGTTCCTTTTCCTGTGCCGTTAACAATGCGTCGAACACGCTCATTACTCACGCGGTGTTCCCACCAGAAGTGAGCCAAAATGCGAAGACACCGATGGTCGAACGTAACTAGCCTCTTCATGTCCGCCGATCTAATGGGCCAGGTTTCGCAACTGTACAGTAAAGTCGAACGTACCGCTGCATCGTACGCTCTACCCTTCAGGACGAGAGTAATGTCGCGCCGGCCTCCATAGGTGGCGAAGGTTAGCACCACTCTGCTGGTGGCCGAGTGGTCTGCACGTTCGGTTTGCAACCATAAGGTCACCGATTCGAATCCGCGTAGGGGTAGGCGTTCTCGCGGTATACTCAGCCCGCGCGCGACTGGTGGTGGTCTCGCGGCAGCAAAGCGCCGTTACGGCGTATAGCTGACACATTCTTATTTATTACACGGTTCGTGATCTCGTCTTCGATCCCACGGGCGCTGATACAACTTCCCAGGTAGTTGAATTTCTGAACGACTTCTAGCTGATCCTCACCAAGGGTCAGCGCAGGAGGCCATCCCTGCCAATCTTGGAGGAACGCTTTGCATTTCGATGGTGCAAAGCAAAGCCCGAAGCGGCTGACAGCCAGTGCTAATCTGTCCAGCGCGGCTTGGCACGTCTGGGAGCTGTCACAGATGAGGGCAATGTCGTCTGCATACTCAAAGTCAAGAAGTCGTTCTCCTTGGAGTAGCTCCACACCTTCTAAGTCATGTCCTGTAAATGCAATCTCCATGACTTCGTCAATAGCGAAGTTGAAGAGGAAACGTGACACCGGGCATCCTTGTCTCACACCGCTGGGGATATTGAAGGGCGACGACAGCTTGCCGTAAGCCCTCACTCTGCCCGAGCTACGCGCGTATAATGTTCGGATAACATTTACATATTTCTCGAGCACACCTTTCCTGAGTAGACAATTCCAAAGAGCACATCGATCAACCGAATCGAAGGCACCTTTGATGTCGGAGAGCATGACTACCGTGGGCCGCCAATATGTGACGGTGCTCCAACAACTGACGCAAAGTGAAGATGTGGTCGACGCAGCCACGACCCCAACGAAACCCGGCATGCTCCTCACGAATCTGGATTTCGCGAGCGCCAGTCAGTCTGTGAAGAATTATGGAAGCGAGTAATTTGGAGGCGATGGAGATCAGACTGATTCCTCAATGGCTGCCGCATTCCGAAAGCGAGCCTCCTTTGAAGATGGGAACAATAACGTAGCGGCTACAGTCGGTTGGAATGGTCTTCTGCTCCCACAGTTTCACTAGTAATTCATGTAAATCATCAACAAGAGCAGAGCCCCCGAATTTGAAGAGGGCTGGAGGAAGATCATCTAGTCCCACGGATTTGTTCTACTTCAGCAGTCCGATCTCACATTTGTCTTCTGAGCGAGAGGGTGGATCCAAAGGGACAGCTCACGAAGCAGGGCGATCACTGGTCGGCGAGGAATCAAACAATTCCAGTCGATTAAATAGCCTTATGAAATGCTTAGCCGAACACTTTAAATGTTTTGACAAATTGTGTATAGGCTGTCCACTCTCGTCACGTATGATTTCACTAACACCAGGTCTCCTGCTGCCCGTTTCCCGTATCCGACGGAATAACTTAGGATAGTTACCAAGGGCAGCGGCCACTTCCATCTCTGACGCACGATGAGACCACCAAGATTCGCGGTCTCTCTTTAGGCTAGCACGGAGTCTTGCCCGGAGATCTTTGCGAGTTTCGTTGTGTTCGCTTCCAGCCAGGATACGCCGGCGAGCATCGATAAGTTCCAGAGACCGCGAAGAGACCCAATATCCATGTCGGCTATTACATATACCACATGAGGATTTGCCTGCTGCTAGTAAGGTCTGGTGAACATGTGACCAGTGACTTGCAATTGTCTCCAGTGAGCGCTTACTCAACTGGCATATTAGCGCACTTTGATAGGCATTCAGAACAGATGGCTTTGTCAGTTGGCTGGTGTCAATGCGCCCACAGCGTCGTCGTGGGCGTCCGCCAAAGCGCATCCGCATGTCAGCGCATACAAGTGCATGATCGGTGCTCACATATGTGCTCCAATTCGAGCGACAGTTTTGGATGCAGTCTCTCCAGCGGTAACTGCAATGTGACCGATTGGCGTCCAAGGCTGTTTCGAGGCTGGTGGGCGCCAAGTCACCCTCCGGCGGGTGCTGTATCGGAAGTTAGTACTCGCAAGAAATAAACGGGCATATTCACATAAAGGAAGTAACCGCTCACCGTTATCATTACGGAGCCTACACTGTGCTGACCGCCCAGAGGCATTTCATCAGTGGACAACTTTCAAACTTGTGCGTTCAGATCCCCGCCAGCGCAGCAGTGTCCGTGCTTCTTCTGTGTCGAAGGAGCTGGGTCAATTGGCGGTAGAAGCTGTTCTTTCCCGAATCATCGCTACAGTTTGTGGGCGCGTAGGCAGCGATGATGAATAGACCTCTGTTAGTCCCGCGCGACTCCGAAACTTTGGACGAGCCAGCCAATCCGACTGCACACATCAGGCTACTGATTGGAATCCAATCAACCGGAGCAGCTTCAGCTCGGAGACCCAGAGCAATGCCAACACCAGCTTCCCCGGGGATCGGAGCTGCATCGTCACCAGGTAGGCGCAATGAGAAAATACTGCTTGCGTCACCTGAAGGGGATCGCAGAGTGAGCACAGGGCTCGAGTCTTGCAGGCGGGTCTCCGATAAGCAGCAGATATCGATCGAGAGGGTCTCTAATATTCGGGCAAGAGCTACCTGTTGACCCATCTGTTGTAATGTGCGTACATTGCGTGCCAGTCTGAAGGAGGATCGAGGGCTCCAAATGGAAGCCGATGAACTGGAATGGACATGGGTTTGTCAACGGGAGAAGAGTGAGGCTCCGTGTTAGCATGTGAGTTGAAATTAGAAGATAAATGCCTAGCAAAGCATGTTGGGGGAGGGACAAGAATCGGGGGGTTGAAAACTGGGGGGGATATAAGTGAAGTTGGAAGGGGACGATAAGAGTGAAAAAGCGGAAGATGGGGAATAAGAAGACGGCAAGGCTTGAGCAGTAGCATCCAAACCCCTATCCACCCTGCTCGATGCAGCAGATAGGGCACCGCTGATTGTTCTCTGCGGTGGCCAGAGCATCAGGGAATTGTTTGGCGTTCGCGTGTCGAGCAGGTTGTATGGTAGATTAAAACAAGAAGTGATGATGTACAATCGGTGAACAATCAAATTGTATATGAAAGATGGCAGTTAATTTTTCGGTGCTACATCTTTAACTGAATCGTGTTCTTTACCATCTAGCATGTATTGATGATATTGCGGTTGTAAACAGTGTACAGTTTGACCAGAAGCATACAACCATTCCGCCGATGTTGTTTTCCGCACCATCTGTTAGTTAATTGCTAATCTAACACGTGAAAATAAAATCTCAAAAATCACATGCATTAAGCTCACAAATCCATTTTTTTACCGTTGTATTCTGGTTTTTTCTGTTTTTCACTATTTCTGATGTCACATCGTCTTTAACCAGACTGAGTATGTATGTATGGACTTCTGCTGCTGTCTCATTGATTAAATTGACACTCAAATAATGCGTTGTGAATTGGTATGTGCTGAAAATTATCGTTGGTTCTTGCTTCTAGCCATTATGTCATCAAAAATCATCTTTAGACCAAGGCCACCTCGGGGTAGGTGTTTTAACGATCTGACCATTACTCTGGAGCGCTAACAGTAGACCAGGATTAATCACTTGAGTGGAAGAACACAAAATTGACCAAGCGAAATCTCAGATTACGTAGGATAGGGTGATCGCCGCAAGAGATGAAGAACGACAACGGGGCTTTTGCCAATGTTGCATCAACATGATATGACCAAGATGAATCGTAGTATAGCATGATATTCAAATATTTCACTGATGTTCATGGATGTAACTCGCCATCAGTATTGCGTTTGAAGCTGCTTGTTGCGTCGGATTCTGCTAGAGTAGGGAGTAAGCCAATCCCCAGTAAGGAACAACTAGCAGGACGACTACGCGGCTAACACTGGAGTTTGTTCCCGACCAAAACGTGAATCAGAAGTTAGCAAACTTACACAGTACGGTCTGTGCTTGTTACCGTACTATCGCTTATGGGCGTTGGTTTCAGATCAAAACCAGTCTGTTGATCGATCTTTCCGATGTGTTATCATCCGACCGTTGGACATCAGTTGACTTTGACCTAGGGCTCAGCTCGTTCAGGTCTTCGGGGCAGATGATTGAGTGCCCAAGGTTCACGAGCTCCATTGGCCTGTGCGCGAAAAAATCGCACCTCCATGCAGCGAAAAACAACATAACTACGCCGCCGCATTAATCCACAGCTCATTATATTTTGATCAAACCGCGATATCTCAGGTTATCTTGTAATCTAACTTGTAAGTTACTACTGTATCACAGCTTGTTTCGTATTCCGGCCTAAATCACAGTCCCATCTACACTTGTAGCCTGATTTTACACGGCAGTGCGCATTGCTTGCAAATGCAGATTGCCTCTAACTTGGTTGCTTGTTTCTGAAATGACAATCTTTCAGTCGCACATGTTGTGAACTGTGCTGCATACAATTTCTTTTCCTTCCAGTGATGCTACAGAAACTTATCAAACATACTAAAGGAATCTAATTTCGTTGCATCGTTTACGACAGCATTGTATTTGATTCAAAAGTTTTTCGCTCATTCTCCAATTTTCCCTTTGGTTTTTTGACTCTGGCCTCTGTCAAACAATGCTGTATTTCGAAGATTTTATGGAAGGTTGGTTTTACGTTGCTTATTTTTTGAGTGTATCCTAGCTGTAGAAAATCTTCCCGACGAGCTGAAAGAAAGCCTCGCGACTGTTCGTCAATTGGATCTCTCCGTTCTAAGTTGTCGACTTTTGGATTGATTTCTAATGCTGACCTTTAGCTATCATGGAACCTTTAAAAGAAACCACCAAGACATTTTTTGAAGATAATAAATGTGGTCGTCTATCTGAATCGCAGAAAGCTGCTCAACGTGCTGAAATCATGGCGGAATATGATAAGGCCTTGTCATATTGTAAGGAAAAAAGAGGAATCGTAGAAAAAATATTTTGCACGGTAAACTCATTTGTCGTTCATTACTGTGTTCGTACTTTCAGTACAAGAAATTGGTCCGCAAGTTGGATGCTGAATTGGAAAAATTTCGTCTTGAATTGGAAGCAGACAACTCTGGGGTAACAGAACAAATTGAAAAGAGTAGGTTTCGGTTTTTATTTCCTGAATGGTACAGGAGTCCTCGGCAAGTCACCGTGCGCTATCATCAAGCCGGAAAGTAAGTCTTTCTAGCGGAGCTCATGCATTCTGCAGAAAGACGCCCACGATTCCGATATCCGCCGGCAGGTCATTTCAAAAATCCATTCCTAGTCCGTCGTCGGATCGTGGGTCAGGCTTGTCGCACTGTCCTCAAATCGCCAGTCGGCCGCTCAGTTCATTCCGCTAACCAAGCCCAACGGATGGCCGGGCGCACTCATGGTCGCGTGGGCGGAACAAGTATTTCGCAGTTGCGTGCTTCTGATGCTTGGCGCTTGCCCACTGGAAATGCTCTGAGAAACTCAGCCGAAGCTCAAACCGGTTCTGTTGGATCCACCGATGAGCGTGAGTTTCTCCTGTCATGCTTTGTATTTGGTTTTTGGTATGGCGCTCAAATATGCCCAACTGCATCATCATTGTCCTTTCGTTTTATCCACATTTGGGGGTTTATTTTATCAGTGCATGTTATTGTGAACACCCGCGTGCTGGATTTTTTACTTCATGAAATGTTTCCAATTTTCGGAATACTTCGTTCTCCAGATTGACAGCGATTGAAATTACGATTATATCATATACTTTGTACTTTTCGCTTACTGCAGTTATTTGCTATTTAATCTAATTTTATGCTTTACCAATCTTATTCTTAAATAGCAATCTGTCCGCTGGACAGTTTTAATCTTTCTCCCGCTTCCCTGATTGACCTGATTGTCTAAACCATATTTTTACTCTGCAAAAAATGCTAGAGCAGCGCCACACTTATCGCAGGCGGACAATCGCTACCTGCCCGGACTTTAAGAGATCTTTCCAATGAGCCGACCGATGCATTCTGTTCGAAATACATGTGCGAAAAGGTGTTTCCTTGAAATGTCTGCACATTTTACGTGCCATGTACTCGAACACCACAACCTGAGTCAGTCTACGATGACTTCCTAGGTATCTTCCCAATAACAAGTGGCCTTCGTCACGGTTGTCATATTTCAGCATTTTTGTTTAACCGCTGTGAACTGCATCATGAAATGTTCACTTGCGAAACCTCAGGATGCAGGCATTGAGGTGTTGCCTAGTGAGATGTTAGTTGATCTTGATTATGCGGACGATATTTTCTTCTTGTTTACTTATTTTGGTTCGACCTACTCGACCCTCAATAATCTCTCTACAGTGGTTCCATCATTTGGCTTGCACTTCGAACCTTCAAAGTGCAGTGTTGTTACAGGACCACCAATCACTTGGTGATCCATTGACTCTTGTTAGCGAGGAATTCGTGGTAGTTGACTAATTCACTTACCTTCTCAGCTGCATCTGCAACGATGGGCGCGTAAACACTGAAGTCAGTTCACGTATTACAAAACTAGAACTTCCTTCTTGAATCTGCGCTATCTTTGGCGCCAGAAATGGTTTCCCTGGGTGTGCAATTTCGTGTTTACAAGACCACAGTGAGAGCCGTCTTGCTGTATGATAGTGAGACTTCGCCCCTTCCATCTAAGGATGTAAGGCCCCTTCAAGTCTTTGATCATCACGGTCTACGAAGTATTGCTTTTGTCGGGTGGCACCAACGTGTCCACAACACTGATGTACGTAGACGAGTGAAACCACGCTGGTTCCTTAGAACAACCGACAGCACTGAATAAGTTGCATTGGCTTGGGCACGCACTGCGTATGCCCAGTCACCTCTTACAGAGGAGCGCCTTGTTTTATTTAACGGATGTAAGGGACACAATGATTGAGATACGCAAAAGTTAACTTAGCAGCGGGAGATGAAGTCACTGACGACCAAACTCAGTGCGGTCGGTTCGTCTTGCCTTTCAGAATGCAGTACACCTGATACGCCTTGTGCTTGGCTGGAGACGTTACGGGACTTGACTCACAGTCGGCACCAGTGGCTTGCCTGCTGCCGTCTCGTAATAGGATTGTTGTGTTTGCTGCGGTTATCTGCGGGGCAATGGCTGATTGTGACACGGGGCAATGAAAACCGCAAAGGAGCTATCTCGTCTACACCGTCTTAACTTTGCACGATAGCCAACTGTTGTGATGGTATATTTTTGACAATGTGTAGGCATCTTGGCTCTGAGTGTTGACTTAGAGCACAGAGATTTTATGTCATGTCCTTCTTCTTTCCCTTATATTATTCTTCGTTCCGCAGGTCACCATGGTTGTAGGGCAGCGAAGAATCAGTTTAAATGGCTGATGTACTACTGTTGATGACTGCATCCAACATGACCAGAATGTTGAAGGCGCCTCAGACCCTCCGACCGAAGGGACCTTGTCCAATCTCATAGAGTATATCAGCCCTTGCAATGTCCTTGTGCGCACATCCTTTCAGACAGTGAGTACTCTATTTCTCACGCCACCAATATCACTGGTTCAACAGGGCAGTTCTGGCTCTTACACTGTGTGGACTAATCTTAGCACTCATGTGCCTATTGTTGTTAATGCAGCAGCCAAGACAGGTGACTTGATCAACTGCCTCCATTTAGTCGTCATCGATAATGAAGTAGTTGCTAGTGGTCCTATAACAACCCTTAGCACTTTGAGGTCGTGAAGTGCTTGGCGTATGACGGAACCGTTCTAAAGTTTATCCTGGGTTGGCTGAGTTGCCTCAGGATTGGCAAACAGCAAGACAACATTGTCCTAGTCACTATCGGTTGGTTTTCCGCTGCAATACCTGTAACGTGAGGTTCCTCAAGGAGACACTCCAAGATGGAGTCCATGATAAAGTTGATTAAAAATTCAGAGTTTGTCATTCTTGGATCGGCGGGCCAACGGAACTGCCTTCGAAATCGATCCGCCAAACGCATTTGGTGACGTTCCTCATTGGTACTGGATGCATTGGTGGTGCACTTGACTGTCTTACTGATGAATACCTTCTTGTAACCAGTAGTATGCATTAATTTGGTGACTTATCCTGCCTCCTCTATTTCTTGTCTCCACCGAACTTCCCTTTCAGCACACGGACCATTTTAGTTCACCTCCAATAGTCCGTCAGATAGCATTGCGTTCGTTGCCAACACGGTGCTTTTTTCTAAATTCCAATAGGCTCACAGATCTTCCGGATATTCAATGATTGATCTGTTGATGACCCGATATCCTCACCAGCAGCCTTGCCGCATCGTACATGACGGCCGAGATACGATTGCGCTGAAATTGAATCTCCTTAGGCTAAGACCGTCCATGTTCGGTTCACATGGAAAGCCGGTATGAATGCCTTAATTTCGGGTGGTGTAACTTATAAGCTGGCAGTTGTGGAGACGTCTCCAAGTAAACTTCGGGAAGAATTGATGGTGTAGTGTCGCATGGTCAAAGCCGGCTGACGATATTAAACCGAGCAACATTCGAGAATAGAACTACAGCTCCTGATCTATTTGTGTCCATCGCTGGCCATCTACAGAAGAATATCAAGTAACTCATCAGTGCCTGCTATGCTTCGTTCCCGTGCACAGTTACAGAAAACAATTACTATTGTATGTGCGTTCCGAGCTAAACCTTATCTGCCACTTAAAGGGGTTTCTTTGGGGCTCCTGATCTACATAGCATTCGTATCCCCTGTGACTATAACGATTTCTGAACAGGTAATGCTGCCAAGAAGCATGTCACGTTCGTGTTAGAAAGCCTCCTTGGTAGTTTCAGGACTGCAGTCGGTAATGCATAAGCGGCAACCACTAACAAACGTGTATTGTGCTACTGCCTGAGTTAGCTCTAGTTGATGTCAGAATCGGACTACGCACGAATGGCTGATCCCTGAAATTCAGTCTGTTAACGATAGTTCGGTCTTGTGGCTAAAATCGATGCCTAATGTAGCTTGGCTTATGGTTGCTGCATCAGTTTCTTCGAGTGCATATAACAAATATGTTGATGAGAAGCTGGGCGTAACCACATGGGCTATTGCTCCTTGTCTTGGACACGACACCAACAACAGTCAGGGTGTCCAACGTGCGTGTGGATGCAACATGTTAATCAGTTTGTTTAGGGGGTTCGAACTTTGAGCGCCACCATAGAGACAAGGCATCCTGGTTTCACGGGATCCGCGTTAACCGAGTTCGCCTAATTTCTGTTGTCTGGTTTTATTGGAGTTAGTGCTAGCCGATTACTGGTTGCACTGTGTCCATTTGTTTCTTTGTTTTATGAGCTTACCAGTGTCAAGCTTGTCAGTTTAACGCCATGCTAACTGTCGAATGAACTATTTTAATTGTGCGAAGCGTTGCCTTTGTTGCTAGTCAGAATACACTTTGCGTATCGCCCCGAAACTGGCGAGTTCTGCTCTCTCTGGTGCTGAACGAGCCGAATACCTCGTTCTCCTGAGAGTTGTAGTTTCGCACGTGCCAAACTGTAACAGGTGATGATGAGGGGGGATGTTGACGATAGGGGAGTCCAGTGGAGATGAAGCACGAAGTTTGCAGCGGCGGAAGAACTCCGGTGGTGCTGCAGCTTTTGACAATTTTATGTTGGGACTCATGGGAAGGAAGGCTGGCGATGGGAGTCGTGTGAGGTATAAGCGAAACAGGTGTGAAGAACAAGGGGGTTGTTTGGAGTCTCATCCCAGGCAAAATAATCCATCTCGTTTATTTTTTTACTCCACAACTACTACGGTTTTCGCTTATCACTAATGATACTCTGGACCGTGATGGTGTTTTCCGACGATCTAAGCTCTATTCCTCTTAGTTGTCCTACTCGGCGACACATCTTCGGTCAGTTACAGTTTACATTCTCACCTACATCGCTTTTAGCAGCTTGGTTAATTGACAGGCGCCATGAATATAACAGAAGACAACTGAAGCATGTTTTCGCTTATCCACCCTATTGTATACAGTAGGTAGAGCGACTATTGTAGGCTCCGCGACTTCCGATGCAGGATCTGGCTAAGTGTTGATAAAATGGTCATGATTTTACACGGGCTGACTTAGTGCCAGCACGCCCAGCAAGCCTAGGGAGGGGAATGATTAGGGTCCCTAATCTGACCTCGAGGTTACGGCGCAATGAAAACGATCCGATTGTTTGGAAATAGTTACCATTACATTTCTGACTCTCAGTCTAGAAAGCCAGGAAATTGAGTTCCTATATCCTTTAACCATTGACCAATCTGACAAGAGTGGCCCTGATCTAGTCTGAAGTCACCATCCACTGTAGCTCAACAGGTTGAGGAGGTACACAAATTACCGCGCTGCATTAAACTAATACCATCGTGATGGTCTTTGTCAATTGAATCCTACTCTGAACCTTTGTTTCCGCCTCAGTGCTGAGCTTCATCAAATCACGGTACAAGGGATTATTGTCCTCAATTTACACCCTTCCGAAGTAGGTTTCCTCTGACTCAAAGACGCATCCATTACCCCGGCGCCATGCTGGATGCA